GGTTCAACATAAAGTTCCACCTAAGGATGAGTACATAATGTCCTCATTGTTTATTTTATTTATTGGTTGTACTAGCCCTCTGACCTTTTTTTTTATCCAATTCCAAAATTGCCCCCTCTTCTACAAAATCAAAAGAATAATAATAGTAGGAAAAATACTATGTACAAAAGTCCACTCACCAACCCTTATAATAGCTTTTAATTAGACTATATTTAATCCCCAAATTAGAATGTAAACCAATGTTAAATGTGTATAAACTTTACATGCCCTTTTCTTCTCTTGTTCCTCTCTTTTTATAGACTTGCACACACTTTTATGATGGTTTAAATAATATGTTTATAAAACAATTGCAGTTATTATTATTTTGCCAATGACATGTTAAAAGAGAAAACAACATGGGTCATGCATGATTTCATATGGGTATTTTGGTAATTAACTACAGTGTTAATTATAATATATGTTATATGTTTATAATTGTATGGTATTAAGAATAGAATAATGTAAGAAACAAACCACAGGTGTGTCTGAGGATTTGTCATGCCAAGAACAACAAGAGAGAAGTGAAAAGAAGAAAAAAGAATGACTAGATTTGAAGATGCAATATCGATATTGACGACTGTAGTCCTAAGAAAGAGCATAAGTGTGTTTGGTGAACTCTCATACTTGTTAATGGACTTGGTTTCAATTCTCAATTCCATGATCAGATTTTCCGGCTTGTTTATCCGGCGATCAAGTGCAGTTTCCGGCAGGTACTCGCCCATGTCGTCGATGGTGGCTCGCCATGATCGGTAGTTCTCTCTGACATATAATTATATGTATGTTGCAATAATATATTTTCGTTAAATGTTGGTTTATAATATTCTGTTTGGTGATTCTAAATCTAAAGGCTCGTGAGTTGAAAATAATCATTGTGATCTATTTCCGTCCTGATGAAATTTCTTGGAACTTCATGCATGTTGGCTGAACTTTTTTCCCCTAAGATTACCAAAAAAAATAAAAATAAAAAAATAAATCTATTGCCTTGAGTCGATATGTTCAATTGAGGATTCAAATTAAATCTTAAATGCACATAGATGTGTGTATATATGTGCAATATTGGTGATAACCCAATGTAATATTGTTAATTACAAATAAAAGAAAATATTTGATCTTCAAATCAGATAATATCTAAATAACATCCAAGAAGATCATGGCGGATCTGACGGCTGCTAGGTTTTTAGTATTTCATCTGATGTCGGAACAGATAAAATGACACGTACAAACGTTCCCACGTGAACAACATAAATAGCTCATGCAAGTCATACTTTATGATTGAAATCTTGTCATGCTATTGCTGCATTCCCACTCAACACCACTGCACAATAACATAGATAGCTCACGCAAGACATACTTTATCTTTGAAATCTTGTCATACTATTGCTGCATTCACACTAATCTTTTGCATTTATTCATTCTCTAATCTTCCTCAATACTCTTACTTTTGCAACAAATATATAACTTGAATATTTGATATGAGATATTACAATCAACTACATCAGATCGATAACTAGCTTCGTAGAAATTGTCAGTCTATTGTTAATTAATTAAGTAATAATAACTCCGAGAAGCAATAATTTGAAGTTCTGGCCATGTTAATGAGTTTGTTGGGGTTCATCCTCTCAATTAATGTTGAAAATATATCATTCATTTTCAATCTATGAGTCATTATTGTTCATTCATTTTCAATCTGTCGGACATTTTTGTTGTAATTGGACTAATCTGTTATGCTTTAACATTTATGAATCGTAGACATCATGAATTCTTTTTAATCATAACATAATTTTATTAGGACACATCTCATCTTATCACAACATATTAATTTAATTTTATGATATGAAAGGTTGTCATATATAAATTGTAATCCTTGATCTAATTCGGACAATGCCTCCATCTTCAAGAAAAATTAACAACCAAATTAGTTTTTCGAGCTCGAAAGTCCAAAAAATAATAATATTACAAACAACAACAACAATAATTACAAGTTCATGAGAGCTTTTGATTAGATTTTATTTGGTCTAAGAGTACTTTGTTTTACGTAAATTTAATGTCTCTTTTTTATTCGGCAAATAAAAAAAATTCTGTCTTCTAGAAGGTGAACTAGTTTTAATTAAATGGCTGTTTAAATGCCTTTCTTCTCCTCTTCCTTTTTACTTTTTGTTAATTTAGATATGCATACACTTTTTATTTTCTTTCTTTATATTTATATGTGAAAGCAAGTTCTTATAACATAATATATGCGTCTATGTAACGGCGTGCACACACACAAAGACGGCAGAAAGCCAATAAAATGTATGATGGATGGACTTCAAAAAAATCAAACACATGCATCATTCTCATTTAAAATTGTTCATCCATTTACGATTAAAAGGATGCAAAGGGTACTTTGTACGTGTAACTGTGTTTGATCTCTATTACATATGTATATTCAATAATGTAACTAATATATCATAAGGATTTGCCATGCCGAGATCACCATATAAATGACTAGATTTAATTATATGTATCTGTTTGTGTTCGCAATGTCGATATTGTTGAGTTTAACCTAATGAAGAAAGAGCACAAGCCTGGTTAATTGACTTGCACACTTATTAATGTACTTAGGCGCGTGCGTCTGATAAAATTTGAAATTAACTATTGAAATATTTAAGAGCTGAGTTTTAAGTGTAGCTATGAATAAAGAACGTTTTTTGATATTTTAAGAGTTTAATGATAAGTGATAAACTGAATTGATTCAGAATTCTCAAATAACCATTGCCAGTTTGCTGCCTTTGATCAATACTGATGTTTTTATTCTTTGGTGCACGTGCTAATTGCTGTAATCCCTTTAATTGGTTGTTCATATCATCTTGTTTTTCCTTCATGTTACTTGTCTGTTACAGTCCTATGTTTATGCTGCCTTCCTAGCTATTTGACCATGGTTCCAGTCCTATGATTCTTCCCATGGCGTGTTCTCATGTTCGCTCCTAGCTTGTCATTATCAATAGTTTTCTTCGATATAAATATATAATCGTGTATTGCAATAATGATTTTTTTTTTTTTTTAATTATTGGTTTGTAATTTGGTTACTATAAGCTTGTTGAAATACAAACTCACGAGTTCACAGTATTCATGTGGTCTGTTTCATTCATGCATGAAGCCTCTTAGGCCTTATATGTGCATGTGCAAGTTATTGTCCTTTAATTTGGTACTCTTGCTTGATGATAAACATGCATGCATGTGTGTATGTCCAAGGATGCATGTCGAAGGCTGATTACAGATGTAGATATATGCGTTTAATTAGAAATAAGAAACGAGAACGGTCATGGAGGATGTTAAAGTGCTTCTAGGTCATCCTCAGTGCTGTACAGCAGCGGACTATGTGATCACTAGGTGTTGTGTACTACAGAGAATCTTTACTCTTTCAGCGGCCGGGTTGCCTAGAGAAGGTAACTGGGTGGCTCATGCTATTGCATGGCCCCTCAATAGCCGTCGAGGTTTGGCCTCAGTGGCTGCTGGATATATGTAGTCCATTCTGTTTGTTCAAGTCTTTAATTTGTAGTTGTGTTGTTTGCGTGACAAGGAAAAAAGAAAAAAAACAAAAATTCCTTATTACAGTTCATTTTCAAATAATACAAAGTCCTTTTCAGCCAATTAATGTCCTCGTGCAATTCTATCACATGTACCATTGATTCTACAAATTCCTTCAATATTGTTACAGTTGAAGTAAAATCTTGGTATGAAGTATATAGGTTGGACCCGATCATCAAAATTACTGATTGATGTACCTTTGATGATTAAGTATATATATCCTTATTTTGAGTGTGTGTAAGAAATAATAGCAGGAAGCCCATCCAAAGAAGAGATACTGAACCTCACAGCGTTGGAAAGCTTATGGCACTTAATTTAACAAACATATATTATTGAAGATTCTATTATTTCTTTCAATCCAAATATAATAAACACGGACGATAAAAGAAACTTCAACATATGATCGAAATAGAAGCTCAATTGATACTGCAAATGACATCGATCCTCAACCTTGGAGTTCTAGACGGCCCATATTCATGAATTATTCTCTTCCCATATAGCTTATGAATTAATACAAATATTATATAGATCTGATAACTAGAAAGATTGGAATTGAGTTAATAACTTGAGATATGGTTGTTTATAATTGGAAGAAAGAAATATATGATCTGAAAGCAAGATTGATCAAAGGGACCTGTGGAATCCTAGGATCAACAAATGAAGTTGTTGGTCATTGACTCATTGCTGAGACAGAATTGGATCTTGAAATAGCAGCCACATTGTTAATATATAATTGTATCTATATATCTAATTATCTTATTTATATTGCTAATCCCACCTTAATAAAATTAATTATAAATGATCATAAACAATTGATAATAAAATGTGAAGTTGTTGTAAAGACAGTTCAATCATGTACAATGAAGGTCATTAAGATAGATGAAAAGTGTGTTGATTACCGAGTTTAACCTAACAAGTGAAAAGTAAAATGAAATTGAAACTTGGCACTCCAAAATCCATCGAAGGCACTAACCCACTGGGTTATCATCTGTCATAATGCTTAGATTACATTAACTAACCCACTGGACTATCGAGGCATCTGTCATAATGCTTAGATTACATAGTATAATTAATCTACTGGACTATCGAGGCGTTTACCATAATACTTAGATTACATTATATAATACTCTAAAGTTTACTAAGGTTTACCGTCGCCTTCACCTACCTTGTTACTTTTTACATAGATAAATTGTGGTGCGCTCGCCTACGCCTTTATATGGGACTATAATGCATATTGTTTTTTCACTTCACTACAATGTACAGTTTCTCTCTTGTTTTTGAGAGGCTTTTCTTGGCATTGCATTTGGAGATATAGTTGCATTTTTTACTTAATCCACTCGTGATTTTATTGTTTCAAACTGCGGAATTGAAATAACGCCTCACTGGCTTAAAGGTATCACTCTGCAAGAACTTTCTTTTTGTAAAACTTATAACACAGTACGGCAAGGAGAGTACAAGAAAGGGAAATTGAGAAGACAACGAGTTGTTGACTCATCATGTTAAGAGATTCACACACCTTATTTATAAGTCGTTTTTATTCTAAACAGCCAATTAAGCTGAAGCTGTAGACAGATTGATATGTAAACCATGAGATATAAACATCTTAATATGTACTACTAGAGGCTCGCGTCTCTTGAACACCCAAATCTGTGGAATGATCCCAGCTTTACTTGACGGCGACTTCACATCTTTGACATTGCATGATCCATAACATCAACAAAGAAATCTGCAATCAAAGAAATCAAGGCAACCACGTTATTATTGAAGCAGAAAATAATTCCAACGTATATAAAAATATTTGGAATAACAAATTACCACTAAATTCTATAATCTACATCAGAGAAGTTAGAATCTAACCTGCATCTTCCTTGGTGAAACAGAGTGGAGGTGTAATTCTGAAAACATTTCCGTAGAATCCACCTTTGCCAACCAATACACCCATATCTACAATAACAAAAATGATAGGAGGCTTAAAGTCTAGAAATGAGCATAAATACTCCCAGTTAAACATGGTGAGGGTAGAAAAAACTGGTACCTTTCATTTGATCCATCACATGCAGAATTTCGGTCTTCGCAGGAGTTTTCAGTTGGCGATCAGTGACAAGTTCAACTCCAAGCATTAGTCCTCTTCCCCTCACATCCCCAATAACTGTAAATACCAACATTTTCACATCAGCAATTGTCTGGTGTATGTCTAGAAGACAAACAAAATAGACGGAGAGGAAGTTTACTTTCATGTTTATCCTTGAGGGCAATGAGGCGCTCTTTCAGGTGGGACCCTACAACATGTGCATTCTCTTGAAGCTTTTCTCTCTCAATTACTTGGAGAACAGCCAGTCCTGCGGCAGTTGCTACAGGGTTTCCTCCGAAGGTGTTGAAGTAGTTGCGACGTGTCAAGACCTCTGCAATCTCAGGAGTGGTTACCACAGCACCAAGTGGGTAGCCATTTCCAATGCCCTGCAGATAAGAAAGTCAACACATAAAGCCATATTTTGTAGCCTGGTAAACCTGCATTCTAGAGAGTCAAAATTTGTTGGAAATTCAAGGATATCTATGAAGATCCTAGTTTATGTTGCTCTCAATCTCATCATTTGGAAAGGTGAAGAACACAAAAGTGGTTCTTCCTCAGTTTGACATGCTTTCCTGTTGTGAAATCTATCAGGGAGCAAAAAGAAAACATTTTGAAGCAACAGCTAAGGTAATGGGAATAAAAGGTTAATCATGAGTTTTCTATATATGTTCATCCATTCCTAGGAGGTGCAAATTAAGCAGCCCAAGCCCTAGTTACGGTCGTCATGTGTGCGCCTCAAACTTTATCAGTTCAGGATTAACTCTACACACGCATCTTTTCTCGGTCTTAAGAAACCCAAACAAGTTCTTTCAGGTGGAACCAGTGAAAATTGAAAGATATCCTGCAGTAGTGACAGGATTCTAAGATATTCCAACCGAAAAATATGACTCTATATGCAATGAAATTTGGTTAAAAGAATTGGTTAATTGAAGCCATAAATTACTGTTAGCAGTACATCAAGAAATTTCAAGTCCGAGAGTTATGAACCTCCAAAGATAGGAATTTATATTATGGTGCATGTTCATCATGAGCATTGATCAATTTGGCAGTGATCACCGAAACAGAAGGATGTTAAAATTAACCTTTGCCATCGTCACTATATCAGGAACAACACCTTGGGTCTCAAATCCCCAGAAATGGCTTCCCGTGCGAGCAAATCCAGACTGGACCTCATCTGCAATGAAAAGTCCTCCAGCTTTCTTTATGCTGCTATACACAGCAGGCAAGTAACCAGGGGCCAACTCTATAATGCCACCTACTCCCTGTCATGTAAGAAATAAAAAAAATTGTGGAGATGTTATCTTCATCGAAAATGTAATAATTAAAGTATGGTAAAAAATCAAGCTAGATAAGAGTTACCTGTATAGCCTCAGATATAAAACCAGCAATGTGACCAGAAGTTCCGTAGTTGATAAGATCTTGGACATCTTTTGCATACTTCTCGCCATCTGAACCAAAGATGCCTCTGTATGGATCTGGGTTCAGAGCATGATGAACTCCACTCTGGAGACCAAATCACAATGGATGAAAAATTAGGAGTCCGAATTCATGATAAATAAGTGGATAGTGTTTCATGAATGCTAGTTTTTAGAACGAGTGAACTTATATACTGATATACATTAGATGCATTAGTAGTGGTATACTTCCGAGCTTTGCTTGAGACTCATTCCTCATTTTGTTCAATATCTTTTACTATGCTTACTGTAAATATTGACACATAGCTCAAGGGAGAAAAAAGGAAAAAAGAACAATAGAAAAAGAAACAAAAGTAAAAAACACCATAATGCAGCCAAACAATGAGGTAAAACAAATTAGCTACATCAGACATGAGCTTGACATCAAAATACAATTTGCTATACTACCTATTTCTGGCTATTGCTATAACAACAGATGCCAGCATTCCATAACAATTTAAAATTAAAATTTAAAACAAAAAGAGCCATCAATCAACAACAATAATTAAAATTAGTTAACGACATCGACAACCATATTTGTCCTCCCACTTAATCTCCCTAGAAATGCACCTAATCTTGAATATGTTAAAAAGCAAAACACCATAAATTAATGCAGTCACATCATGAGCAAACTGTAGACGGCCACAACTTCATGAGCATAAATTGTTCATTTTGTTCATATTAGGCGCTCCATACCCTTCGGATTAGTTTATTCTTTAAATGTAAAAGGCAACAACTTTATCAGCCACACACAAACTCTCAACTTTGCAACCAGCTAACTCAACAAGTTAGATGAGATTAAAGAACTCGTGTACTAGGAACCACCTCATACCGTGTCGCCATTACTAATCGAATACCTTTTTACTTCGGCAGCCAATTAACAATTTAAGTTCTCACCTAAAACACTCTGTTAGTAACAAGGCTGAAGAACTTGTAAGCAAGGGCTTAAGCCTTTTAGATTAATACAAATGAAATGAGGTAAATCCCAATACATATCAGGTTCACAAAAGGGGATTTACTACATACAATGACAAAAATCTGGACTAACCACCACAATATTTAAAATAAAAATATCTTCATTTCTAAATTCCATAGAATTCTAGTGTAACTATGTCTTAATAGTACTCTGTCAATCAAACAAATATTCAAAAAAAAATCCATCTTTGTAGTTCAAGAGGGATACAGATGATAGAAAATTTAATCCAACAAAAAACACGGTTAAGTATGAGCAGAGCAATTTATAAATAAAATGATCACCTTTTGACAACATATAATTTACAAGCATTAAAAGGGCAAACTGCTGGGAGGGTCAAATGTGCATAGTCATAGTCCGCATATAATATATAAACAGTAATATGTATACCTGTATGACATTAAACTTCCAGTTGCATTGTGCAGTAGCCCCCATAGTACCAGCTGCGTTGCCATGGTAGGCATTCCTCAAAGATATGATATCATGAGACCCAGTGTACAATCGAGCCATCATCATTGCAAGCTCATTCGCCTCCGTCCCGGAATTCGTAAAGAACACTACCTACAATTCACATAAAAGTTAAAACCATCCAAAACCCAATTCAGAGTCTTCATCAAACATCCAATTGATCCAATCTGCACCCTCAGATCATCATAAAACTAGTCAAATTAATTACCTTGAGATCACCAGGTAACTTGGAGGCCAGTGCCTCCGCAAACTCAGCTATGGCGTGATTGAGGTACAGAATTGTGGAGTGTTGTAAGCGGTTGGTTTGGTTGACGATTGCCGAGACCACATCGGGATGGCAGTGCCCGCAACACACCGTCGCGATCCCACCGAACGCGTCCAGATATCGCCGGCCCTTCTCGTCGAACAGGTATTGCCTCTTTCCGTCAACCACGTTCAACTGTTAAAATTGAAATTAATTTGATATATATATGTGTCTGTGTGTGTGTGTGTACATATGTAAACAATTTGAATGATGAGAAGATGGGATTGTGGTGGGTGTGATCGGGTGTGTGGGGACTCACGGGTTTGTTGTAGAAGCAGAACATGGAAGGGCTGAGATAATCTTTTCGCTTCTGGAGAATCTCGGCGGAGGAAGGACCGGTGTACGGCGGAGGAGAGTAATCGAAGGGGGGCAATTTGGGGAGGAATGCGTCATTTTCAGGGAGAGGGGTCTGTTTCTGGGCTAACTGAGAGAAGGGACGAGATAGACTTTGAAGATCTTTTCCCGAAAATGGCCTTTTCATTGCGAATCTCTGCATCTTCACTTGATTCTCTGTCTCTGTTCTCTCTGGTTGATTCACGAAATGCGGAGAGAGTTAACAGAGAGAGAGAGAGAGTGCCAGACTGCAATCGAGACAGAGACGAGGTTACATATATATAGAGAGTGAGTCACAGTCACAGGCACAGGCACAGAGTGGAAGATCAGGTGACGTGTCGCGTCTTCTTATGCTATAATAATGATAGCACGGTTTGTAAACAAGGAAACGTTTTGATTGAGCAATTAAAGCAATTCCATCTGAATATGTTACCGACGCCTATTCTAGAAGGAAAAAAAACAAAGAAAGAAAAACCCCAAAACACCCAATGGGTATCCTTCTTGGAAGGAATTAACGAGATAAAGACTTTTAGACTGTACCATTCTTAAATTTACTTTAACTTTTAAATTATTATTTTATAAAAAATAAAAAATATTTTTATCTTTAAAATTTTTTACGAGTCTCCAATAAAAAAGTACAAGGTGGAAGGCGGTGTTCGTGGGGAAGGCAATTACAATGGTGGTGGTGGTGGTGGTGAAAGTGGAATACAATGATGTTGGTGGTGCATGGTGGCAATAGTGGAAGGTCGCAATTAAGGGTGGTGGTTGTGGTGGAAGTCTGGAAGGTGGCGATGGTACGTGGTGGTAGAAGTTCACAATGGAAAGTGGTGACAGTAGAAGGTGGCAATGGCGGAAGGTGGTGGTGGTTGGTGGCGGTGACAATGGTTGAAGCTGGGGAAGGTCACGGTGGTAGTGGTGGTGGTGGTGGGAGTAGTAAAAGGTGATGGCGGCGGCGGTGTAACGGAAGACCAAAAAAAAATATAGAATGATCTTATCAATCTAATAAAAGTACATAGGCAAATTAGTAAAATAATAAATTTATTCTTAAATAAAAATTAACTCCTTAAAACAAGGTTTCAAAAGTAACATTTTATTATTTCTCTGAAATGGACTTCCAGATCATTGGTTTTTCGAAAAAGTCCTTTATACATGTGTAACCGTCACAATATTTTTCAAAAGGACTTTTGAGACTTAGAAGGATTTTTTTAGGCTTCAGGAAGCTCCCAAACATGGCCAAACTAATTAGCATTTATAAGTCTTGCACTTAAAATTCAACTATTATAGTTTTTCAGTATTTCATGGTATAGTCTTATCAAACAACAACTATATAATAAAAAATGATGAAGGGTATATAATTAGGAGAAAAACTTTAATGTTTGAGGAGTAGTGATTGTTGGGATTATTTTAATAAAATTATTATTTATTGTGATTTTTTATGCTTTAATATCATTTTTAATAATGTTTTGTTAGTATATTAATTCTAATATTTACTTACTTCCGCAATACAAATACAAAGAGCCTTCTACCATATTAAAAAGGTTTAAAAAAGAAGGTGGAGATATATATATCTTGAGTTTTTTTCCTCAAAATACCCTTCTTATTATACATACTTATATCCTGTCTTCCTTTCGCTGCCCTATGTGACTTATGCTCTATTGGGTAGAAAAGAAAACAAAATGGATGGAAGGAAGAGAATAATAGACGGACAAGACATCCTCGAAGAGATTATATATTTCAGATTTTGTTTAATTGGATAGAAGAGAAGAATATAAGCTCATAATTTAATGAAAGAGAAAGTTTTAATTGCATTTACTATTGTATCTAATAATATTTATAATATTATAATTCATAGAGGATATAATACTATAAACTTGTACAATTTAGGATAATATTTAATTTAAAACTTTTATAGTAGTCCACTTGTTTTTTCTTATTTTTTCCGCACATTTTTGGACGAATGAAAGTTTATAGAGAAGAAATGATGGATCATCATTCATACTCTCCTTTCTTTCCTTGTATCATTTATACCTAGCAAAGAAAGTTTGTTAATTCCGAACAAAAAAAATTTGCTAATTCCTTCTTATTTTCTCTCCATACTTCTTCTTTGGCATCTTTGTGGAAGCACAATCAATAAGAACAACTACCTAGCTCTTCTTCAGTAGGCTATACCTTGAAACATGGTCATTGTTGCTTTAATAGCATTGGCTTAGACTTATCAAATAAAAGATTGACATTGACAATCTATTAACTAAACGATGAAAAAAAAAAAAAAAAAAAAAAAAAAAAAAAAAAAAAACACATTGCAATTAAAGGAGCATGGAAGGGTAAGAGATTTTATGTCTATTTTCTTAATTTGGAGCTCGAATTATTTCCAAATCTCTATCATACATCAATCTGAGTCGAGACTAATTCTGCTAGATAATAGAGTTCAATACGTGTATGGGGATTTGAATTCAAAAGAAGAGGCATTATTTTAGCCATCTCACTGATACGATACGTACGGTATTTGATGATTAAGTTGACAAAATCAGGGGTCTTAAATGCAATTCTGGAGAAGAATTCAACACAAATTAATATTGTTTGTATACCCTTTTATAAAAAATTATTGCTTTGCATAATGTCACGGGATTTTGAGATCGATTTTTCAATGCTTGTCCGTTTCTATTCTTCATCCAAGGTGGGGTGGGTCGTAAGCACATCATTTCACAATTATTTAACACGTGTATCACATAACTAATGTGTATGATAGGGACAAAATATAGAAACAAAAATTTAGGACTAATTGCATAAAATCTCTTTCACTTTGAATTTTTGCACAAAACTTATTTACAAAAAAATAATAATAATAACAACAATAATAAAAAGACTTAAAACCTCCTGAACTATCCAATTGTTGCAAAGTAATATTACAATGATGAAAATTTCCCTTAATATAAATTTAGGAAAATAGTACTCTTTATTATAAGATAAAAATTAATACAAATAACTCATTTGGCTTACTGTTGTTAAAAATTATTTTTGTGAGTCTTAAAAAAAAAATAAAAAAACCTTGGAACAATTTATTTTAAAAAAAAAATTTAAAAAGGAAAAGAAAACATAAAATGAAAATCATTTCAAAGAAAACCTAAAATTTCATAACTTTACATTAAGGGGCATTTCCATCATAACATCACTTTAATAGTGTGTAATTTTCAAAAATTTCTTAAAGTTTTATTTAAAAAAAAAGTAAAACGAAAAGACAACCTAAATTGAAAATCATTTTAAAGAAAATTTAAATTTTCTTAAATTCATATTAAGGGATATTTTCGTTATTGTAAAATCACTTTGCAAAAATTAGATAGTTTAGAAGTGTTTATGTCATTATTTATTTATTTTTAGGGAAGTTTTGTGCTCAAAAAAAGTGGAGATGGTTTTATGCAATTTATCTAAAAATTTATGGTGAAGCTGTTCTCACTAAATTAGTAAATTTGATGTAGAACTGGATACTAGTTAATACAGAAATGTTTGGATCATTGAAAGACGACATAAGAAGGTGACACATTTTTTGAAAGAGTTTTGACGAATCTATTTTGACCCTAGAAATTCATTTCCAATCGGACTCGAGTCTAATGATTATTTCTCACAGATTTTGTTTGTGATGTATGTCCTTTTCAATCGAATTGCATAGCTTAGAGGAAGATGACCAAATTTTTAAAAGATTTGTGTTAGTGATAAAATCATAGTACTCAAATTGATTTAATTTTTAAAAAACATTATTTTAGTGATTATGCCTCAGGACTCTTATCACCCTTTTTTTAATGTTTAGCTTCTAATAAGAACATTAAATTGCAGACTACTTATTTTATTTTATTTTACGTGGAATTAGCTCACCTATTAGGTAGTCTAGACTCTCAAGTAATTTATAAATTTTAAATATGTACAATTACCTATAAATCACATATGTCATTTAAATTTAAGTGTATATTCAAAATAATAATAATAATAATAAATTATAAATTATACAACACATGCACCGTGTATACATGTATATATTTGGGATAGGGATACCACGTCGGTAACAAAAACACCAGAGTATAAAAGTGGAAAGGGTGTTAATCTAAAGACAATCATGGGATCGCTTTTGTACAACTTGGTCCTTCAACCCTGCCTAAAACAATGGTACCATGTGAAATCATCATCATCATCGTCGGTGTTGATACCTAGAGACTTGTTGTAGTCCAGACTTTAGTGTCACCGGAGTTCATACCTTGTCATCATTCATATCCAAATTATTATTTAGTGTAAATTACGCTCACACTTCTTAAATTTAGATCAAAAACACTTTTTGAACAATAATACTCTCAAAATTTTCAAATTTAACAATCATACCCTAATTACCTTTAAAGCAATATAACATGTCTAAAAAAGTGACCAAAATATCATTTAAGAAAGTGACCAAAATACCCTCCGGTCCATATATCTTTTAATCTCCTCCATTACCCCCTTATCTCTTTCCCTCTCTCCACCAACTACCACCACCATCAAAGTGATAAAATAAAATTAAAAATTTTATTAATATATATAATCAATTTGTATATATATTATATATGTATATATACAGACAGAGAATGGGGGAAGAGGAGGGCGATGGGTGGCGTTGGCGTTGGCGTTGGCGTTGCCCTGGGCACCAAATCGGGTACTAATAGTCTCATAAGACTATGTTGGCATTTCAAAAGGTGAATCAAGTTTGTTATCAACTGGTGATACAATAAGCTAGTTCGTGACAAAATTTTCTCTTTTACACACGCGCGCGCGCGCGCACACACACACACATATATTTGTAAATATTATAATATTATACACAATGTATGTGTTGTCCGATAAAAAATAGTATTAAAAAAATTTAAAACTAAAAAATAAAAAAATAATAAAAGAAGAAGAAAGTGAAGCCCCTAAAAGCTTTAATTAGTTTTAATCATTTTATTAAACATTAGGGGACCATTGTATAGATTGGTCAAATAATGATAGGACTGTCAAGTGGTGCTGATGACTTTTATTTGTTTTTTTATTCTTGAGGGTCATTTTGGTCAATTAATGGGAGGTTATAAAGGTAATTTAATGATTCACATGAGTCAATCCAGATGTCAAAGAGCAACTATGTACTTTTATAATAATTGTGGTGTCTTTGTTTAGTTTATCAAATTTGGAGAGTGTCATTGTCCAAAAAGTGCCAAAGTTGTAAATAGTTTATCAAATCTGGAGATGTCATTGTCTAAAAAGTGCCAAAGTTGTAGATGAATTGTCTTTAACCCAAACCTGAAGTGTCAATGCAGGTTACCCTATAATTTAATGGGAAGCTTTGTTAATGTAAGCTGAGTTTGGCAATGGGCCTCACTTAATTTTGAAACACCAATTAAAAGCATAATTAAATAAAGGTTAATTATCACTTTCAAATGTATGTGGCCATCTTTTGAGGTTAATTATAGGCTTCAAGTGTATGTGGCCATCTTTTGGACCACCCTCACTGATGAGATTTTACTATTTTAGAGGTTTCTATATGGATAACCAATACAAATACAAAGCAAGTACTGGTTTGATGCATGTCACGCCAAATAAAATAAAAATTATTATATACTACTGTATATGAAAAAGCATGCAAGTTAAAAGTTGTGGCCATGATAAATTAATTTGGAGTCACCATATATTATAAACTTTTGGTTCTACATTATAATGATGATGACATTGTAATAAGGTAAGTTTGTTGATAGGTCCATTTTGAGTGCATGTTAATTAGATTACGCACTACCAAGTTTGCTAACTTTGTAGATTTCCATTTCTCGCACTACATTTGGGTTAAGTTGCGGAGAATGGACGGAGCTTAATCTTGTTCCAATTAATTAGGTTGATTTTCATGCTCTATGTTTTTGCTATTATTGTTTCTTACAAGTTAGTTTAATATAGCTTATGTTGAGTGTAGTTTTAAACTTGTTGCTCCAATAATTTAAAAAAATCAAACAAAATATAAATGAATTGATTTAGAGATCATATTAAAGTTTGTATTTATTATTATTATTATTATTATTATTATTATTATTATTTATCCAAAGATTCTCGTCACAAAAAACAAGGCCAATGGTCTCACCACTGCCATCCCATTTACAAGACATGCATTTCATTAGATGTCACAATTACTGAAAGAAGCATATTTCATTTGAAAGTGATAGGCCTTTATGAAAAAGATGGGATTGTTTTTGTTGTCTAGTAAAATGAAAAATTATCAAGTACATCAGACACACAGACGGATTTAAAAAATTATGTGAAAGGGACTAACCTTTAACAACAAAAAGATAAAAATATTGAATTCATGAAATGGGGGCAACAGAATAATTTTACAATCCACTATTAACACTTTTCAAGTAAAAGGTAAGGCATCTTTCATTAATGGATTTCCTTGTAACGACTCTCTTTCTGGAGCGAAGCTCTCAAAATTTTCACAAATTTTAATCTTTAAAAAAAAATATAAAAATAAACAATAATCTAGGTACGCTCACGACTGTAATAAATTTGTTTTCATTATTGAATGAATAAAGCAGTACACACACATAAACACATGAGACGCCACAATCGTCACAGTTACGAGTGTGACTAGCACAAATAGCCTAACTCGGAAGAAATGGGAAATAAATGGACGCTAGTGTCAAATTTAAAAAAAAATTATTTATAAGTGCATAAAGTTTTAGACAAGTTTGATTGACCTGTGGGTGGGTCCCAATGACCTACCACTAATCATAGTCCATATAATTTAAGTGAATTAATGCTATCTTGTCCAACTTCAATGATGCAAAGCATACGTGGATTGAATTTTGTAGCAATATCTTCCCATACCTTATCCCGACATGTGTAATATATATTATAAAGATGATGGACCATATTATGGGGTACATTTCTTTCATAAGTTACCAAGGACACATACGACTTTAGCTAGGTATCATATACATTTGATTTATAAATATACTCGTGTTTCCTTGTTGGAGTTTCCATTTAAGATTTCATCAGACAATTGACTTTAGCCTTATAACCAATGCCACATGAATCAACAACATCAATTTAGATGTTCCATTGAAATCATACACAACAATGTGAAAGCAACTCACAATTGAGAATAAACAAAAATGGGAAGGGACAAAATCAAAATTTGGAAGGTCGAGATAGTAATATAAACATCTGAGAGTTTCACATTGCTTATACAATAACTACTTTACATCTTTATTTCTCTCATGTTGCGCTTAGAATATCCGGCAAAAGATGCCCCTCCATGGGATAATCTAGATTTGATGTGATTGACCTTGTTATAGTTGGTTATCAACCATTCTAACTTCTTGTAACTCAGCAATACTTACATGTAAAATAATATCAAGGGCTGGGTATCACCTTTTAGTATGCTCAATCATGTATCTTACACAAGATTTGATACCATAACCACGATTTTTTACTCATGGTTGACCTGAAATTAGGCTAGACGAGCTTGTTCATTGTGGGATTTTTCTGAAATGAGTCATTGTCTCCATAATCCACTCTCTTGATCTGCAAATCAAATGACTTGGGTACAATATGAACTTCAAAAATGCCTTTCAAGTCAGGATGAGAACTAACAGATGTTTAATCCTTAGCTATGGGAGATGGCATATACTGATTGCAGTCTTTAACCATTAGAAAGCAATGGCCTACTAATTGAAGCAGAAAATTTCTCCGTTAACAATGCCGATAACCAAGCTTTTAGGAAAGGCTTACCAGTTACCACCCATCAAACTATCCTCCAAAGGTGTCAACTCAGTTATGTCATTTGAGCAAATTAATTCTAGACTATGGTAAAACAGAACTTGGAGTAAACAATTTATGTTTACTCAGGACTCTCGAGTGGATTCAAACAGATAGCAAATTGTTAGTTGGTGCTTAATCAGAAATTTAGATACCAAGTGTGGACCTTAATTGCTTCTTCCAACAGAGAATGAGGAGCAGAATTGGAGATTATGAATCATACGTACCCATGAAAAATATAACACTTGCCAGCAGATATGAATACATCCAGATTCTACTACAACTCTTGTCTCAGCATCTATTTGATCCCAATATAAAATTCTAATAAGTACCAACAGAGAAGGAGATTACAGTTAATCCTTTAAGAAATCAAGATCATATCATACGTTTAGAATATACAATGTGGTTTTTAGAAATCTCGTCTGTTTCCGTGCAAGAGGCAAAACAAGTACACAAAATATATGATTTTCGGACAATTCTTGCTATGCAAAGAATTGAAGCTATCTTTGTATATCATATACAAATTTTACATAAAAATCAAATTTTAGCTTACCATCTATTTAATTAAACTGATAAATGAGGTAAAACAATGCACAATTATAATATGCATGTTAATGAATGTTAGCTCATATACCATACAAAGCCTATGGGGCTTTAGCATGAATGTTAGCTCATGTACCATACAATTGACATGTTAATGAATGTTAGCTCATATATTCATGCCCCAATGCCCGCGTCCATGAGTGCTCCAAACCTACAGGACAATTGCCTGGCCTTTATTTCATAACTGCAGTTTCAGCAGGTCAGACTACCAGTAATTTTTTTTTGGTTGAGTACTAATATGTTGAAGTTACACGATCCTAACCATTTCAAAACTTAATCTAACCATTAATAAACATCCCAAATAAGTTTTTGTCATGTATACTGATTTCTGTACCTCAGAAACCCTAGAGTTCATCATGTCCAAAGATTATATTATCTAATCAAAGCAATTTCACAAGCCCTCTCTAGGAACAGAGTTTCAAGCTAAAATTGATTAAACATAACATACACGGCAGATAGAATACAATCAAAATTGCCATCCTCGTCACGGATGATTGCATTCCTATTCCTTTAGATACCTTGAAACAACCGTGCTGATTTTGCTTGAAGCAACGGCATCATATACCTAGGCCATGCATATTTATGACTCCCATTGAGGAATCATTTACCTGATCAGTCTTATACCCATTGTCAATAGGCTAAGACAGACGAGCGCATATTCATCATTAAGCAGTTTGGTAGGCAGCAAAACCCATCATTTCTTGGTTAGCTCACTAAATTGCTAAAAACTTTTAAAAGTCATAACCATAACGGTGAAACACTAATCACATCTAAAATGAGACGAGACCATGGCCAACTCAAACATGATTATGGCAAATAGTTTCCTTGGTCATCCATCCTGTTATTCATTCAAAACCACAAAGACCAGCACATACCTCCATTTTTGACATGGCAGTTTGTAAATTAAACTTGCCTCGTATATTCTGTCTGATCAGAACTGGTGAGCTATGTTTTGACCACCCAAATCTGAAATGCTCTCACAAATTCAAAAATAGTATCCTCACATCCCCCAAAAAGCATGCCCAAAATGTTGCTGATATGGGACATGACACGTCATCAAAACGTGAGACAAGTGTCAGCGAAGGAAATGGTAATCCACGTGGCTTTCTTATGGTAACCCACGTGGCGTGCACCCTCCCTAATTTTAAGGGTTCAATATCCCACTCAAAAAGCTCGCATGCCCCCACCTAAAAAGAGGCACTCTGTTGACACCAACCAAAATTAGAGGACAGGTCCCCATCAGATTCCATTACCACCTGCATTGTGTACTCTCAGGATCCAAATTGGCAAACACACTTATTATATGTGATGCTGAAATCTTAATACAAGTTAAAACAACTCATATTAACAGGTGCCTATAAAAACACATTGGTATCTCACATCATTATACCCCAACAGGAACCATTAATAAATAAGATAACCTCTTGGCCATAATGTCAACCTTCAACCCACTACATTTAAAAATCTTATAACAAAAAACAAATGAAAGTTCAGACACTTTAGGGAGTGGGGTGATACTGGACAATGTTGTGACACTCATAGCAACCATTTCCTTTAGTCTCTTCCAGTGCTTCTCACCTGAAAACCCACTGCGGGCATACCCACCTGCCAAAAAACCAACCAGAGATAGATACCAAATGTGAAAATACAGATTCCAATTTACTGATGAAACTCTCTTTCTTTGTTTTTCTCATTCATTTGTTCATTCATGGCCAATGTGACTCTGATATTCATATACCTTACCGAGTCACTCTTGCAGTCCCGGCGGAATATAGCACGAGCTTCATAGGGAGGGCTTTTCTGATGGAGACTAACCAAATGGTACCCAGCTTTAAAGCTGCTTTGAGCGTCGAAGCTTTGAACCAGAAATATTCATGTTCCCTAGATGTTTTTCTTGGAGATGTAAAAGTGTGGAGTTCTGGCCATTTCTCACGATTCTACACATCAGAGAAATGTGTGCTAGAGCTAACTCAGGATGGAGATTTACAATTGAAGGGTCAGAAAGAACGGCTTGGATGGCGAACAGGTACTTCTGGACAAGGTGTGGAGGTAATTTGAAGTGTAACTAGTACTTGAAACATGTTCTATAATTTTTCAACATTAGGCCTTGAATATTCTGTGATGTAATCTTTCATTGCTGCAGAGACTACACTTACTAAGTATGGGTAATCTAGTTTTAGTTGATGCCCGGAACCTCATAATATGGCAAAGTTTCAACTTCCCAACCGATGTGATGCTCTGGGGCCAGAGACTGGATGTGGCAACTCGCTTGACATCGTTCCCCATCAACTCAAGTTCATTCTATTCCTTTGAAATTCAACACAACAAAATTGCATTGTACTTGAATTCAGGTAAGTCAAAGTATTCTTACTGGGAATTTAAGCCTTCCAAGAACCGAAATATTACCTTTGTTGCATTGGCTTCTAAAGGTCTGGAATTATTCAATGATAAACACAAAAAAATCGCGCAGATCCTACCACAAGGACTTGAACCACTGCAATTTTTAGCAGTGAGTAACAAAACGGGAAATATGGAGCTCTACTATTACTCACCAAGCAAGGGCAAGTTTGAGTCCTCCTTTAAAGCACTCAACAGCACATGTGATCTTCCTCTAGCATGTAAACCCTATGGTATATGCACCTTATCCAATGTGTGTTCATGCATCCGATTTGTAACAAGAGATAAACTGGATTCTGATTGCAGTGAAGGAAATCCGGGAGGGTTCTGTGGCAAAAATCAAGTGGATTTGCTTGAGTTACAAGGTGTTAGCAGTGTATTGAGGAGCGATCCTAATAAAGTTAATGTTAGCAAAGAAGAATGTGCAAGTTTGTGTATGGATGACTGTAAATGTGTTGCTGCATTATATTCCTCTGGTAAAGATGATACAGATTTACAAAAATGCTTTCTATATGATATGGTTAGGGGAGTTAAACAAGTCAACAAGGGAACCGGTTTGAGTTATATGGTTAAAGTTCCAAAGGGAGCTGGTGGGGGTCATGGGAAGAGTTCAGGTATCAAAAAATGGGTGTTGATTGTGGTAGTTGTGGTTGATGGATTGATTCTTTTTCTTGTTTTGGGAGGGATTGGGTATTATGTAATCTGGAAGAGAAGAAAGAACTCTGTGGATAATGACAACAACTGACGTTATAAGATTCGATGTTTTATGTGAGATTTCAATTGCAGACAACAAATTTTCTAGTTTATAAAGCCAATGGAACTCAATTTGGAGACACAGGTTTTCAATGAATGAAATTGTGCAGTTACATCCAATATCTGCACATTCCAACAGTTAGAACCAAATATATGGCTATTTTGAAATTTATTCTCCTCAAACAATCAACTCAAACGAAGCATTCTGCAACACAAGTTTTTAGTGAAGGAGGATAAGAGCATTCGCTGTGCAAGGCAGAACTCAGATGTAAGCAGAAGGCAAAAGAAAAGACATAGGTAATGAATGAACGAACTCTAATCCCCAATCATCAGTCAGGAATCCTCCTTGTCCAATTTAACCGTGCAATTCAGAGGACTAGGGCAGAAATATAGTGTGAACCCCGAGTTTTACCTCCCCTTTTCCCCTTTTAGTGTGCCCCATTTCAAATGTTATGTAATTTTCTGTCATACATAAATGGTTGATGTGTTGTTGACAGTCAGAAAAGTAAAAAAGAAAAAGAAAACGAAAAGAAGTCACCTTGACATACCACAAAAGAGAGAAGTTGCATATTTAATTAAATATTTAAATATACTTTTAATACGTTTTACAAGCAGCTACCAAAGTTAGATGTTTTATGGGCCAATTTTTTTCATGCCAGAAAAGTTGAAAGGTGTCTACTAAAAGGTAAGATTGAGATAGCTAGGAGGAAAATCGCTGCTTCAACCAGAGTATCAGGAGCTCTGTTTGGAATAATGTAGTCCACCACATAAAAAATTATAACTTGACATACCACCACAAATGAAAGATCCCTAGATTCTACATGTATTAGATGGCTAAAAACAAGAAATTCGAAGAATTACGAGTATAGGGATTAGTGAGTTATAAGTATGTAAGCAATGCAAAATAGGGAGAAATAAGTAGGTAAGCTATTCACTATGTATAAATCTCCATGAGAAATTCTAAATAAAATATAGAACATTAGCAGCAATAACTAATATGCTATTCAGTAGGTTAAATGTGGCAGTCTCAGGCAAATAAATTCAAAATCCAGAACATGTGCCCACTTGCAGTTCTACTGAATAATCACCATTCTCGAGAAGTATACTGTGCTACTTTGATTGTGCAAGAGAGTACATCGGAATATTCAATTACATTTGAAGTATCTGGGAGAATAGAAACAGCTAAAGGATGATCATTTGAGTTGCATGTCCGCATATGGTTTTGTAAGTTTCTGCTTAAGATTAAATTCACAATAGAATTAGGCATATTTCTTATTGATGTCATAAGCTCATGAAATGAACCAATCCAGAAATACCTGCTTCTTAAGGGTAATAACTCTTATAAGAATCATTCCAGGCCTCAATACAATTGATCTAAACCCTTCCATGGGGTAATTGACATCATGCTTCAAATTATTAATCACTATCATCTGTGGTGAACTTGTCCTTTAAGCATGGGAATATCCATCCTTACTGTTATTATTAGTAACATTGTTTGGATCCACCAGCATGAATGTGTTTCTTGTGAAAATAGAGAGAAAAAAAAAAAAAAAGAGGAAAAGAAAAAACTAGTAGACAGGGCCCATCAATAAGTCCTGATATTAAAAAAGCTTTTAATAAACCCTAAAATGTAGTGAACTGAACCAACAGTTGCAATGTATCTTAATATTCTCTTTGGATTAGTTTGGTTTATGAATACTTCATCAATTAAAACGTGAATCTGATTAACAGCAATATCTTAGAAACTACAAGTGGTTGATGTGTGAACCTAAAAATGTAATCCCATACACGATTTTGCAAAGAAATTAAACCAAAGTGGATACATTGTGATCAAAGTGAGAGATTTCATTCAGAAAACTTTAAATGAATATAACAATGATGGCCCGACACTGATTAATAGTAAAACAAGACATGCAATAAATAATTTATAAACATATGGAATCGTGACGGATCAAACAAAATTTCTATGACGACAAAGCTTCCTATATAGGTCTTGTTTTTGTTAATTGGACGGTGCACAATTTAAAATTGAAGAAACCAAAATCAAAACATATAAGTCCTGCTCCCCTTCCATGGGATGTCCAAATGCTTTTTTAATCAAAATTGAATACACCTGAACTATGCAGAATATGAATTTCGCCAACAAGGTGTAATTATCATGTCATTTTTTTCCAACAAAAATTTTGGAAGTTGTATCGGTCCCAGTGAGCAGAACTGATTTTGTTATTTTCTGGTTCCAACCTCATAAACATGAAACAAATTATTGAGGGAGTATCCTCAAAGACACAATAAACACACACACATATGGGTAAGTGACCATAGACAAGAATTGAAAACATAATACAAAGAGATACTTATAATTTCCTAAAATTTCTTCTACAGACTACAAGGTTTTGAACAAAATGTCAACATTGTACTTCTCTGGCTTGTACAACTTTAAAAATTTGACATTGAACGCCCATTGCACATTGTCCAACTTTAAAATTTCAAGGGGCAATCTTCTCTGTTTATAATAAAGACCGTTAGGTCAGATATTACTTGTTCCATTTTTTTTTTACATAGCATTATAATGTAAAAACTCACGTTACATTTTTCTAAATATTCGAATAAATTTGGAAATTCTACCTCTATGTTGAGTTTATCTTTGATTTCTGCTTCTTGATCCTGCAGTGTGCCTTCTTTGCATTTTTTCCATATGTGTTTTCAACAATTCCAGGAGCAACCTTTCCTGATGTAACCCAAAAACTTCAAATGGGTTTCTCAGAAAATAGCTTCTATGTTTTGTTTTATATTGAATTAGAAGGTGAAATCTGCCACATATCTTTTTCTTTCCACCCATAATTTTCATGATCTGAATTAATTTGGGAATTGAAAGTTGAAATCAGACAATAATTGGTTAATTCTTCCTATAAATCATGCTTTACGGCCAAAGTAATGTTCTAATACTGTATTTAGTGAAAAAAAAAAATAAAAAAAAAAAAAAATTCTTGTACTTGGTTTAGACAGCTGTATGTTCCTTAGGTTAGCTTCTAGCCATTGATGATCATCTAACTTTTATTTTTTTTTGTATTTTGAAGATCAATTAATCATAACAAAAAAGCCTCAAACTTGTAATGAAATGCTTCTTTTTTAACCCAAAGATTCACTGCACCAATACTCTGTTTTAACACGGAAACTTGAAAAGAATAAAGCAAGCTCAAGACGTATATACAGTAAAAACATATACACACATATACATGTCCGGGTTTATGATCATCACGAAATTTACCTTTTGCAGTGGAGTCCGAGAGACAGTTCCTTGAAATCCCAAAGTGTCTGCTTTAGAGGCCCCTCGTGAATTTCTAGCCCTAAAAAAAAAAAAAAAAAAACCGAAAACCAATTTATCGGAAAACATTTGAGATACAAAACGTCTGTTTGCGCGGAAAACAGAGGAAAAGAGAAGAAATTTTACTCTCACAAGTCACACTGGACGTTGTTTAGCTCTGAAGAAAACATAAAATAGAACCTGAGTCACAAACTTGTACATAAAACATGCGGGAAAACTAGTTCCCATTTTATTTTTTCGGTAATTAGTTCCCATTTTCTTAATTAGTTTGCTTTGGCTTCAATTTCTTAGCATTCAAACGAAATGATAACGGTCGAAGAGAAACTCACATAAAGCTTTAAACCCCAAGGAAGTGTTTGGTTTGGATTTGGATCCTCTTTCATTTGTTTTACTTCCTGAGCAACTCCACCCATCATTCAAGATTTTGAAAAAAAGAAAAAAGGGCAAATTGATTGGGGGATTTGCTTTGAGAGCTTGTTTGCTGTTTGTTTGTACTACTATCCTTTTTTATTTGGTTGAAATTAAGGTAGTAGTGTCTTTATGAGGTTCGTGTTTTCTTTCAGCTTTATTGGAAGTTTGATTAATTAATAATTAGCAGTGAAAATTATGATTGAATTTGCAATCCTCAACAAGGCATCCAGTCCAATAATATAGGCCCTGTTTGGGGAATCACATTTTTTTAGGGGAATCACTTCCTGGGTTAGAAGCCCATTTTAGAGCTCCAGAAACTCACGCCAAACAGGCTTATAATCACCTTATCCTAAAATAGGAGAGGAGGGATCTAAGTTCCATGTGAGTAAAAAGTGTATGTAAGTGAGTGTATGAGTAGATTTTTTGTTAATAAAAAAAAAAAAATATAATCGTAAATTTTACTTTATTTTTTTTTCATCTTTAATTTCGGTTTGGTTGGAGGGATAGAAAAAATTGTTGGACCGATGGAATAATACACACGTTGGATGTATAATTTTAAATGAATAAAAAAAATATGAGTTAGGAAGATGTTTCATCACTAGGTTCTCCCTCTCTTTCCTTTTTTCCAACTAAACTAATAAGAAAAGTTCATTTTAATTCTCTTTTCTTTCATCATTCTTCAATTGTTCCCTATAATCAAATATAGCATAAGGCATGGACATTATTCAGTTTAGTTTCATGGCTTGTTTTTTTCTTAATTTGAAGGGTTTTCACCTATTTATTTATTTTTTATTATTATTTTTTTTGTATGCTAAATTTGGTTGTATTTTCTTGAATGCTTATTATTTACCCTATATGTCCCAAAATTCTTGAACTTTTAAGGAATCCAGCTTTTTATGATAATGGAGTTTTAATATTTTTTATTATAAGAGTGAACTTTTAAAATTATCCTTAGTAAAAGACAAATGAGTACTCCGTAATTAATTAACTTGTTAATCAAGTCCATGCCAGAAGGGTAGTACATCCATTTTGAAATAGATCGAACATGTATTTTGGTCATTTCAAAACGGAAAAATGGCCAACAATTTTTGGTGGAGGGAGTATATTGTTATTTATTTATTTTTATTAAATTGATTGTTTTTTTTGTTTTTGTTTTTTTTTTTTTAAAGGATAAGCTTGTACAAGGAAGAAAGAATGTACAATGTGTCCCAATTAGGAAAGAAATAACAAGAAAAAATAACAGCAAGAAGGAGACATCTAAATCCAACATTACAATTCCAATTTCACAAATCTTCAACCAACTTACTCATCAAAGCGTTATCCATCTACCTTAGCTGCTGTGAGGGCTACTCCAGCACTACAATCATCAACCTCCCTTTCATTGGGTTAGGATAATAGCTAGGATTGACCACGAGCTGTGGAACAACCCTGCTAAAAAAGAAGCTGCAGTTGTGAGAGGGATGTGATCTGTTTCAAGTCATAACAACTTTTAAGCTTGAGTGTTGCAAGTCTGGCTTTAACACATCTTTTTACCTGAGCTATGATGCTGAGAGAAGAGGCTGATTAGTTCCCGAAAGCTCTTGTATTTCGTTCCATCCAAATAAAGTACACAACTGCAGCCCAAAATAGCTTATGGACTAGAAATTCTGATGAGTACCAATGTGATGGGCACCACTGAAGTAGTTCAAACCAGCTGCTTGGCAAAATGTAAAAACCTGCCACATCTAGGACAAATTTCCATATGTGAGAAGTATACTCACATTTGAAGAAGAGGTGATCAATGGACTCCTATTATAAATTACATAGGTAACAGCTATTTGTGTAGTGTTTGTGGGGGACTGGTTTGGCATTTAGTGTATATAATCTACCCCTCA